CGTTGATTCTCAATCATATTGAAAATATTTAAAATATTCCAAAATTTGTGAAAAAACTTGCAAAAAATTAGGAGAATGCAAATTGTAATTACAATAAAACTATTCATCAATACATATTTTTGATTGTTATCAAAGCTCAAAATTGACACACACAAACATATCCTGTCTTGAACTTATCACTGCAGATGTGAATAAAGTCCAAGGCAGGCAGATGTACAGCGTGTTGTTTCTATGGTTTGTTAGGCAAATTAAATAGCAACATTCATTGACACGCATTGATTCTTCGTGTACGCAAGACTTACTTGTTTGTGGGGCTCTGTACAACTCCTGTACACGCAAGTTGTACGTGTGGGGATTTTTTTGTAGTTTGTACGCATGTCTGTGTGGAGATTGTTTATGTTGTGGAGATGTTGTACACGCTAGGGAGGTTTATGTAAGAGATGATGTGTTTGTTGTTAGTTTGTAAGCATGTGGAAACGTGCTGTCTGGCGCTCATTGCGTTCGTCGGTGTGTTCTCTCCTTTGCTGTTTTTCGCGCTTATTTAAAATGCAAAAATACAACTTTGGTGGTTTTTTTAAAATTTTTGGTTTTATATTTTGTAAAATTTAAATAAAATTTTTTTCTTCATGACTTCGTTGTTGACGTACGTACGAAAATGTTTTCTACCATACATGTTTTTAAAACCAGGTTGTTTGTTTGGCTGTGTATGTTGCTTGTGATCTTCTAATTTGAAATGAAAACACGGCAAGACCGTAGAGGCTTGATATTTGTTGTTGGTATGCAAGCAAACAGCGTGTGGAAACAAGCTGCAAACATATTCACACGTACACTCAACACCGTGTACAAATATGAAAGTTATGTCGGTTGGCAGATGGAAATATTTGTTGTTTGTGCGACATCTCAATATGTAACCTGACATGAATTTTTTATCTATCTATTTGTTGGCAATTTTTGTTCGTGTTGGTTTTTTTCCAAAGAATGCTTGTTGAATGTGTGTGTGTGTGTGTGTGAGAAAGAGAGAATTGTGTAGTGTGGTTTGAATTAACAAAAGTCAACTAATCTCAGTACATGTTAGTTTACATAACATGTCTACAAGTATAAAACCCGTAAAGAGCAAATTGATAGAACGAAGTGCAGAAAGCAAGACGAGCGTAAACTGAGCAATAAAACTTATAGAAGCACATAAATAGGGTCTTCCGTATTTATGCATCCAACCAAGTGTAGAAAAGTCCTGAAAAGCGATTCACTCGACGACCCACAATACATTCAGTTTTTCTCTTGTAAAGATAAAAGTAAGGAAATCCATAGCAGTCACATAAACATTAACACGTGTGTGTGTGTGTGTGTATGTGTGCGTGCGTGTGTGTCTTGTAAACGAGCTTTATAGATGATTTGTGTATAGTGTGGAATCAGGCAGAGTGCTAAAATTATTTTCACATTGTGGATGGGTTGATGATGTATGCTGTGTTCAGGGAGCCCGTTTCAGTTTGGGGTGCAATATGTTTCAGCAAATTTTTCCATAATTTAGTGTACATGTTGGTATATACGGCCAGGTTTTTTAAATTAAACCGCCTTTGCCTGTAGAACCATGCTATTTCAGTATTTATAAGAAGTTAGATGGTTGATACTGACATATGTTTACAAAGTTTACAAAGTTATTATTGCATAATCATTTTACAGATTAATTTGAAATGTATGAAAATAAATATTTTTAATTTTTGTTATTTCGTTAACTGAAAACGTACAGCTAGCTTATTTAAGCACATGCACAATGGTAAACTTTCACAAGAACAAACACATAAGCACACATGTATACACAAAACTTAAATTACATATAGATATAGACACAAAAACATAACAAGTTCTCACTTACACATAGATGTTTACATACAGACAAGCATAAATGCAGATGTACAAACAGGTCGCAAACATGCAATCAACTTCCACGCAAACTCATACAAACATGTAGACATCATAAATGATACCATTGCAAATATGTTTGAACATTCCCTTGCAAATATGTTTGAACATTCCCTTGCAAACATGTTTGAACATTCCCTTGCAAACATGTTCAAACATTCTCTTGCAAACATGTTCGAACATTTCCTTGCAAACATATATGAACATTCTCAATCAACACAGTTTTTGTACAAGCATAAACAAATATATACATACACATATACATAAAAACACTTGCACACATGCACACGTTGAGCACATGGCGGTATAAAAGTCAGAATATTTGGAGGACATCTGCTTTATGATACGTGCGAATGAATGCAACATTACCTCCTCAATGTTTGTATAGTGGAATGAAATGAATGAATGAATTATTTTTTATTGTTTGCCTGCTTGTTTGTTTGTTCAGACGTTTGTCTCTTTGTGTTTGTTTGGCTGTTCATCTGTTTGCCTGTTCATATGTTGGCTTGTATTGATATTTAATCTTGCATTTGTCGGATAACTTTGCATGTGACCTGAATTTCTGCATTGTTTGAAGAACTTTCTCATACTTTATTAAAGTGGGTCATTATTGTTTTATTCATTGCTCATTCATCATTTAATATCACATTTTTCATTGCGTGATTAATTAATTTGAACTAAAATATACTTTTGAAATTTTTTTATTGCCTGTTTAAATTTTTTTATATTTTATCTGTTGATAATTAACCATTTCATGTCGTAAATCGCATAATTAAATTTTTTTTATAAAAACAAGTTTAAACGAAGTGCCCATAAATTTTATTAACGAATTTATCATGGCAAAGTGTAGTTTTTTATGCAGCATTATACTTTAATGATTACGCAGATATAATGATGTTTCATTATATTATCATATACTCATAAGTAGCATGATAAAAACATGTTATATTAACTCCTATATCACATCACATAACATCACATCACAGCTTATCATGTTTCATGTGAATATAAGAACATAATTTTTTAAAAATACAACAATCGAATCACCCTACATTTTTAAAAAAAATTTTGTGAACAAGAATGTGATCACAGTAAATAATAAATAATATATTCATTATACATACCCTATACATAGCGTCGGGAGTACTAAACTAAATAGAATAAAAACTAAATGAAATAAACTTGAAACAATTTGCAATGAAATTAAGCATAATAGCTTGTTACATCACATTAAATCACATTAAACCACATTACATCAAATTACATCACATTCATTTCTTTACGATCGGGGGTAGATGTGCATATATTTTTGGCCGCTTTTGAAACTTGTAAATATTTGAAGTTTGGGGTGATATTAAGTCGGGGTGAAATTTTCACAGATTTGTGTGGCGCAGAGAACAAAAAAACCCTCAAAAGTGTCATAAATTATTATTTTTCATTTCATAAAAGTTTGTTAACTCTACCATATTGAAAAAATGTTCTCAAAAATGGTAAACGTTTAGTGCTACTCCTTGGAGAACGCCCTTCTGCCTTTCATTAAATGATGTTATTTAATGCCATTTTTTCCATGGCAATCTGCTAAGGCACATTGTTGTTAATAAAACACACACAAACACACACACAAACACACTACACACACACCACACACACACACGCAGTGTATGCATATTCACGTGAATCAACTCATAACGCACGTTTGCATGTGATAGAAGCTGGGATCTCTTAACATTCGAACCACAACACTGTATCAACGGTGCCAAGCACTTTAACCACTGACCCATCGCGCCGACCAAAATACAAGTGACATTGTCAAAAACAAAATGATGACGCGAGAAAAGGATGAACCGAAAAAATTTCAGGTACTAAATTATTATTCGCGCTGCACCAAGCTACAATCCCTTGATGGATTGTTATTTGCCTGATACCAATAAACGAGGCATAAGTCTTAATAAAGCATGCAAATACACAGTAAAACAAATATAATACGGATTCACCACTAATACTATTACGATGACGACCGCACGTATGCTTCACTATCATCAACATTATTATTACTATTTTTATTTTAACATATTGTGTTTTAATTATTTTTATCAATATCATTGAACTGATTTAATATGAATTATAACTTTACTAGTATCATATTGTCATACTATTATTATCCTTATTAATATGACAAAACAAACCCTTTTGAAACTAAAATTTACATTTCTTCAACAAAAACTGTTCTAATACGAAATGTTTATATTCTTTTAATGAAAAATTTATGCATTGTTTTTCCATATAATTGTTCGTGTAGACGCGAGCGCTGGTGATATTAGCGCGAGAAATTGCCTACACACCCTCAGTTCAATTCACATCATGAACAAGGCAGTGGTAAGGTTTAGTATATAGATATTTACAAAAAATAATATAGAAACGTTTAACAACTTTTTGTTACAGAATATTGCATGGAAAAAACATTTTTTTATTTTTCTTCTTTCCAATTTTTAATTATTAACTTTATTTTGAGCGTATTATTTTTTTAATAGATAAGATGCCAATAAAATGTTTAATACCGGCTGGTCATTAGATCATCGAGCAGAAGTCCTAGTCCTCTTCAAAAGGAGATAGAGAATCGTTAGGGTAGGCGTGCAGCAGCAATAATATCGAAAATGGCTGGTAATTTTGAAATATATTGAACAACATGCTCACAGTTCGCCACATTTTATGAGGCGTTTTATACCTCCAACCAACTTTAAACGGTCTTTACATCGAGTAGATGACTTGTTTATAAATATTTGAACATAAATATAATTGCGTTTTCCAAAAATTTAACAATGTGTTATTCAGTGGAATATCATCATCAAGTTATCCATTATTGGTTCATGTATTTAAGCATAAAAACAATGAACGCCTAGAGGTCATGTTTCCACATCTCTTAGCGGTTTTACTTATTTATTCAAAGCATCGCCCAATACTCGCCACATAACTCATTTTATCGGGCCAGTAGCCTTGGCATATTTATGTCCTTTTGTTATCGGCACCTTCCTTCACGTTATTACACGGCCTCAAATTTCTGTCGACGAGACGCAACACACATGCGCACAACAAACAGACGTAGCTCACTCACATCACGCCACAGTCAGTCAGATCACGTCCACAATTCCAAACAGTGTTCTGTCACTGTGTGCATATTATTCTTCATCAGCTTGTTTCATTTGTGTGCGTGTATCCTATTAACGTTCTTGAACGAGAGAACGGATTCACGTTGTGAGGTTTCACTCGACGTTTCAGTGAATTCTGATTAGAACTTTAATTTGTAGGTCTTCATTCATTGTTAGTGAATAAACAAAGGAATCAGTAAATGGATAAACAAATAAATAGATGAATGAACAAAAAATTAGCAAATAAATGAATGTTAGATCATTATGTTTGCGCTTTCAATCCGTCAATGCCAATGTGTGTCAATGTAGATGCAAATGGATGGATTCTGTTAAACTATTCCTTTCAAAAAATCATATAAAGACAAAACTGATTTATTTTTACAGCTGGCAATTTTTGAATTTAATAAAAATTTAAAATTTCATCGGAAATAATTTATTCTTTACACAAATTAAAACGGCTCTTGTAACATCCTCTCGTAACTTATTCATTCAAAACTTCTTTTAGAATCTACTTCTGCCATTGCGAGTATTACAAACACAACTGGTTTGATGGAGTTCGTGGACACCAGCGCTCACGAGAAAGATAGTGGCATCGGAAGAACTGATGAAAGTACCAAAAATGAGGATAGTTCTGATGAGATGGTCAGTTGATGTGATGATGACATCAATTGTTGTTACGTGATGACGTGTTGATGTGTTGATTGATGTGATGACGAGGTAATGTAAAAATTATCGAAATCTTAAAAAATGTATCGCCATTTTCATTTTATCATCATCTTGATTTTATTTTCATCATCTGGATTTCATAATCATTTTCATAATCATTTTCATCATCCCCTTCATTTCATTATTGTTTTCATCATCATCCTCATCATCATCATCATTTCGTCATTACCACCATCATCTTATTTTCTTCATTTTCATCTTCCTCATCTTTCCCTACCCTAGCGGTCCATCGATGAGTTACCTTCAATAAAAAAAAAATTGATGCAGTACGTTTCGCACCTGGAGACACATGAACAAATGCTTGTCATCTGCCCTGGCCTCATGCTCATTTCAGCGCATCCACAAACAATTCATACAGCATAAAACACACAATCATATATTATAACATACAACAAACATTGACCATTGACTTGTACATTGCACACATTTGCGTGCAAAGTTCAAGTCAAAACAATTACATGTTTATATTATGATTGTACATAAATTAGGATAAATAACATATGTAAAACATTTTATGAAACAAAGCTTTACCTAATAGAAACTTAGAAACTTAATAAAAATATAAATAAACGAGTCACGTTTCGGAAGAATTGTCAGTTTATAACAAACAAAAAATTCATTTTATATTTCTCTTTCTTCACGAATCATTCTGGATCTAAAAATTAAATGATGCCATTGTATACTAATAGCTAAATTTTAGAATAAAATTGGTGATTTTGACTTACGGCTACCGTTGCAATTGAGCCATGTAGTTAATTTGCATGTTTATCGATGTAACCGTGCTATTTGATAATCTATCGCTACAGTAATAATACAGTATATTGAAAAGAATTGAAATGTTTTTTTTTACCTCCATAGCAGCTATTTCTATCTTTTTATTACTAAAAATGTTGTTTGAAATAAACGCATATGAATTTTTGTCATATGAGGCTATAACGACACGTCAGAACGTGGAATTTTCATTGTTGTGTATGTGTGTGTTTGATATAGTGATTGAAATGATGTGTGTGTGCGTGATATTATAATCATATTAATGTTTGTGTATGTGTGTGTGTGTGAAATGGTGATTAAAATGATGTGTGTGTGAATTGATGACCACATTGATGTGTGTGTGATATGGGTGTGTGTGATATTAAAATGTTCTATGTATAACATAATGATTGAAATAATGAGTTATGGTGATCATGATAATCTACAACAATGGTTATAAAGATGTACGCATGGTTGTTTGAACGTCTAATGTGTCTGTATGCACAGTAGCAGTACGTGTCTATTCGCGAAACCCATGTAATGGCATGATAGAAGAACAAAGTATTGGTTCTCTGCAATCGGAAACTAACTGAATCAGCTAATTTTGTCCAAATCCAAATTAAACGGTCCCATGAAAATTTTCGTAGTTTTATTTTTTTATTTTTAAACTTAAAAATAAATTTAAATAAACAGCTTTGGTTCAACATTACGTTTAGTCGTTTTCCTTAATATCTCTAAACCAAATATAACCATAGTTATTAATAAAAATACCAGCAATGAACATACAGGGAAGTATTTTTAAACAAATACAGAAAAAGCACATCATTGTAGACGAACAAACAAAATAAAGCACTGAACATAATCAAACTCGATCATAGATAAGGCATTTAATTATTCAGTCCAATACACGGTCACATTTAATGGATGGCTCTTTATGATATCTCATCTTTATAATTGCTTCCGTACCGACTAGCTAGATGGAAGGTTATATCGTTGAAACATTAGCATTATTTTGCCCACATGTTTTTGAGACTTGTAATTTTTTTTTAATTATTTTCAAAATTTTTTGCAGCCTACATTAATTGTTCTACATCTTCCTAACGAAGAAATTAATTAATGTTGAATCTATCACAAAATATTCTTCCAAATTATCAAATGATTCTCCAAGAACAAAAACGTCATGTCAATCATTGATTGTTTAATAAATTTTAATGGCTGTCAAATCTGTCTAGAAGATAAAAGTGCTTTATTTTTTGCGATTGTTTTACATGAGCTAACCGCTGACTGACCTAATTTGAATGCACGTCTGTCTGATCATCATGCTAGGATGTGTTGTATATACTTCTCTGTGCTGTCTTTTTCCGGTTTATAAGAATTTTTTTGTTGAATTTGTTGTTGCAGTTTTCAACATGTAGTTGTTCATAAAACTTTAAATGATTGTTTCGTTTTTATTTTAACAAATTGAATTTTGTAACTTATTATTTGCTGAAACTATTTATTAAGAAACTGAAAATAATACACGAATGTATAAACTAATTTAGCTTTTAAAAGTTTTAACAACAATTTTTAATTGCTTCTCATTTTTTTCTTTATTTTCTACAGACACGCGTGTATTCACTTCTTTTAACGTAATCTTAAAATAACCTTCAACTTCACGAAAAACAAATAATTTTGCAGGAAAATATTGAGAATCACTTCAGCGATTCGGCTCCTGTTAGGCACACAAAGCCCATTCATCTCAACAATCATTACCACCATCATCCTCAACATCAACATTTTCCAGATTCCCAATCGCAAACGACGGTATATCTGACTCAAATTCCAATTAATCTGCACCATCAACAACTCCAACAACAACAAACACTTTTGCAACAACATCGACAACTACAACAACATCGACAACTACAACAACATCAACAACTGCAACAAACGCGTGATTTTATATTGTGTCCTGTTGAAAATAGTGGCTACTATCGTTTCTATCAGGAACCAAATATATCGCCGAAGAAGATAAACTTCAGCAAGCTCGAGAACGTTCACCAGCTCAACAACTACAACGCAAGCCAGCGCGACAAACATCACCCAGCCCACAACAATCACAACCTACACAACGGCACTAACAATAGCGTTTGCATTTTAAACAACACCAACAGCAAGCAGAACAGTGGAGCTAAAAAAGATTTGAAGGAAGCATACATCATGCATGACAGTTGCAACACTAATAAACCGTGGATATCTGGAGTAATTGCCAATCAGAAAACTTGGTTTAGTGATGTCGAAAGTTATATTTACGACCAGCAACAACAACAACAGCAGCAACAACAAAAATATCACCTACCACGCTATCTTGCTAATAAACAAATTCAACAAATGTATCACTACTACAACCAATTTCAACCAACAGTTGGCAACAAACTGTTGAGAAAACGAGATGAACAGTTGGAAGAATTGGAAAGAATGAAATGCCAATGCCAGTGGAAGTTGCTCGAGTTACAAATGTTGAGAAACAAAAAATGTGTTGGCAACAATGTTGCTGTAGATGACAACTGCGTCTCATATCAGTTAAAAAATAATTTCAATGACATTATCAACAACAACAACTTACAGTCTAACAACAATAACTCCAGTAACATCAACATCAACGAGGCAACTTCAAAATACTTCTTCCTACAACAGCCCATAAAACCTTCATATCAAGGTATTAAACAACGATCTAAAAGCAGCGAGATTGATTATTATGCTAATGACCGATCTGCACTTTATATTTCGAATCAACATAATTGCAACAACTGCAACGGCAACTGCAACGGCAACTGCAACGGCAACTGCAATTGCAATAGCAACTGCAACACTAATAAAAATGTTATTGACGAGGATAAAAAAATCTATAATAACAACAAACAAAACAAAATTAACAACGTTATTATAAATAATGCAAAAACTAATATTAACAACAACAACAATAAAGTCATTGGCAATATAAATAGTAACAATAATGACAACAACAACAACAAAAACAACATCTGCAACAGCAATAAGAAAACGAGGAACGTCGACAGATCACACGCATCAGTTAACTTGAGTCCATTCCGATATGCATATCCTAAGATGGGAATAACCCAGTTGGAACAATGCATGAAACTCTTTCAAATAAACTCTCAGGTATTGAATGAAAACATCGCAAATAACATTTACACTAACAATTTTTACAACGCAAGACAGGTTCAGGATTTAAGTAAGGGTTTTTCAAATATCAACAACAATGGAGATATCACTACAGCTAGTATAAAAAACACATCTCATAACTCAATTTACGAAAACATAAAACATTTCAACTTAAATTTAAACGTCAACACTTTAACTGAGATTCAACATTATCCACAAACACAGCAACAAATTCAGCAGCAGCAGCGACAAAAACAACAGCCACGTACAAGCGACAACTTCATTAGTTCGCCCGCACGATACAAACTGCATAATGGCCGAATATTGAGGGTACCACTCGTTGCTAAGCAAGTCGCCAAGATTGATGACCCACAAAACTATAAAAACAAAAACACTCTATCAGACGACGCAATGAACAACAACACAAACAACATTATCACGAATAACAACATCAACAACAGCAACATAAACAACAATAAACTCCACAGCAATAGCTCGAACAACAGTAAAAATGTCATGCCCCAAAACACTAACAGCCTTAATATACACAACTTGATTAACAATAAAACTATCCAAAACAACACAAACAACAACAACAATTATAGCATAAACAACAACGTAAAGGATAAACATACCAAGAGAACAACATGCAGTAGACGGGATGATAACGTGAGTGAGTTTGTTAATGAGCGAGACATCACCGACGATCAGTGCATTGATCGTAATGAATGTGATCCGATGAAAACTGATGAGCAGACGGAAAACAAGCTAAAAAACAACAAAAACAACAACAGCAATACTAACGAAAATAAAAAAATTTGTAAGAAAAATAATAACGTGAACAAAATTTACAGCTCCATCTTTAATAATCGGATCTTTCGAACGGAGAAACGTGATGTGAAAGGGCCTGTTGGAAATATTTACAATGAGAAGAAAAACTCCAGTGCCGATCATGCCAAAAAAAATTCTCTTGCCTGCATTGCTACTAACCATGAAGATAGCACTAACAACAACACATTAAAAACTATCAACAAAAACTCCAATGACATTAAACATAATAGCAGCCAAAACCAGAGAATCAACATTTTAAATTCATTTTACGTCAACGGAGACGATATTCAACAGATCCTTAATTTTAATAATCCTAACAAAAATACTGACAAAACGTTTGAGAATAATCCAATTGTCAAAAAGAAACAATCTATAGACTGCAATAACAACAACATTAACAATTTCAATGACATCAACAACATCAGTCTCCATCACAACAACAACAACAACAACGACAACAACGACAACAACAACAACAACAACAACAGCCTAAAAAACATGAACATCAAATACATTAATACCAACGACATGAACAATAAAAAAAATACTAACAATGGCGGAAATCAATGCTTAGTGGATTCCTCAGAACCGAGTTATTTATTATCTAGGAGTCCCAAGTCTAAAAAAGAAAAATTGAATTTCAGCAAACAACAACAACAAAATCAACCACCACCACTACAACAACAAAAATTCCATCAATTGTTACAACAGCAACAACAACTAAATGAGAGAATGGAAAACGAATCAATAAATAACAATCAATATGCGGTTCCTTATAATGTCAACGACGACATTCAGAACAATAAAACTCCCAATGTAACCTCATTCCATTGCATTGCTGCCAGCCATCTTAATGTCTTTAACAATGCAAATAACACTGGAAAGGGAAATGTTAATGAAAATTTCTGTCACAACGACTCGATATACTGCAACACTTCAAACTCTTTTCCCCTTCCTAATGACGAGATGGCAGTCAATACATATCAGCATAATGAAGATTGCAACAATAACAACAACAGTAATAGTAAAAACAACATCAATAATAAAAACAATTACTTTCTTCGTAATATCATCAACAACAACATCGACAACATCAACAACAACAACAGTAGCAGCAGCAGCAGCGGCCACGCAAACGGCACCGCCAAAAACAATAACATTGATGAATGCTACAATTCCTTTTTTTACGACGCAGAATTCAACAAAAATAATTTTTACGACGCTGAAAATTGCAATAACGCGTTTCAATTATTTTACGAAAATATTCACGAAAATTTCCAGCGAGCAAAAAATCACGGTGACAGAATGTTTCAGCGGAGGTTCTCAATGTCAAATGCCGACATCAAGAACAACAATGTTTCCTTTTTTGGTGACAATAATGACATTAACAACAACATCAACAAGGACGCAAACAGTCGAGATACTTTTGAATCTTTTCCAGACATCATATCCGCCAGCAACCAGCAGTGCAAGTTGGCGATGGAGAACATTAAAAATGCCAATAACAGCAGTTATCTGCCTGACAATAATTGCATTATAAACGATTGCATTAAAAGAAATACTAAAAACAAAAGCCCTACTAACAAAAGCAATCCTTACTCTAACAATAACAATGACATTTACTTGACCGGCAACAATTTTTATGCAAGCAATAAAATCTGCCATAATTACCAAACGATAGACAGACATGATTATGATTCCAGCAAGTTCGGTGAAGAAAGCGATTGTGATTACATTGAAGTGGATGAAATTGTTTTCAATAGCAGCAACAACAGCACCAGCAACTCTAACCAAAACACCATCACAAATGCCGCCACAACTCAAAAGTCAGTTTCATCATTAATGACGACATCTACAGCTACAACAAATACAACAACAAACTTGCATTCGTCCAATCGCAGTAATTGTTATTTGAATTCTTCAAATTTAACCGAAGCTAGTCGGGAAAATGTAAAAAGTACAATGAAACAACAGAAAAAACTACTTCTCAGAGAGCGAGCCAGACAGTTTGAAGAGGAAAGAAGCTCGAAGAAAACAAGCAGAAACATTAGAAACATTAGCACAACAGTCAACAACCACAACAGTAATGAAATGTTGAGCAGTGGATATTACGGGACAGGATTTGGTAATTACAACAACATAAAGACCATTTCATCTTCGTCATCGGAAGATGACAGCGCTTATTACGACAGACGATCGGACGTTCACAGACGCCAAAGGAAAAAATTAAAAAATTCATCAAACAATTTAACAAGAATGACTGACCATAATTGTAACATCAACAAGAACTTCGACAGCATTAACAACAACATTACCAACATTTCGTTTGACAAATCCTTTTTTATATCCAACCAACAAAAGCATTTTCTCTTTGCCGAACAGCTCGCAAAGTTTCGAAAGTACAACACGGACACTGAGATCATAGCTGCCAATATGTTGAACCACGAGAGAAAAAAATTTTACTCTCCTGTCCGCTGGCCACTTAACCTCTCAAAAGTTAGCGACACGTGTGGAGTTGGAAGCAGTGGTAGCAGTAGTGGTGGAACGTCTGCCGGCGATGCTACACTTAATCATCAGATAACTTCTGCTACAACTGTCTAGATAGGCACTTTTGCATATTGCCGTTGTTGTTGTTGATGCTGGTTACTGAGGTTCATTGTTCCCACTGTTTTGTTAGTTGCGTTTTCGTAACGCAGGCAGACAGATGAATGTTGTTATGAATAAGTACAGATAGCGATCTTAATGTTTATAATATTAGTTCGTGCGTTATCTGGAATAAATAACCAGGGCAACGCTAATGATCAAATCAATCAAATGATTCTATTGCAGCTTTTCATGCTGCGATAGACTAAGGAGGACCACAGAAACATTTTCATCTTCAGAGTTAATGTTATTGCATTACAAGTAACAAATAAAATCTATTAAATTAGAAAAATTGTCTTATATTAAATATATTACAAATAAATTAAAACCTTCTAATTCAGATAACATGTACAAGTACACATGATAGATATAGGGATGATGAAATCTTATACGCATTTTAAAATAAAGATCACAAGCCAATATTATTATGCCTACTACTTAGATGCATCTAATACATTCAAACTTAGTAAAACCAGTAAAACTTAAGTATTTCTAGAAAAATATAAAAACTTTGTCATGGCTATTGATGCTAACTAGTTTTACTACTTTTTGATCTTAATTTATTAGCAATATTGCACTTATTTTAAAATCATTATTGTTATTATAATTACTACTACTACTACTACTACTACTACTACTACTACTACTACTACTACTACTACTACTACTACTACTACTACTACTACTACTACTACTACTACTACTACTACTACTACTACTACTACTATTACTACTACTACTACTACTATTACTACTACTACTACTGTTACTGCTTACTACTACTGTTACTGCTTACTCCTACTACTTTTTTGCTAAGACTTTTACAACTACTAATACTACTTCAAAGGTAATAATAGTTAAACAACTGTTTATTTTTTCAATTCTTCTTAATATGTTAATAAATCAAAGACATTAATAGGATCGATAACGTTTATAACCGTTTCAAAATTCCAAATATATATATATATATATATATATATATATATATATATATATATATGTTAATTAGTATAATACATTGAATTATATTAATTGAGGCATGTTATTTCAATTGTGTGTTAATTAAACAACTTGTTTATTTTTAACTATGTAATTGGATAGGTCATTTTAAAAATTAATTGAATTCATCTGTATAGTTATTAAACTTGTTAACCAATTACTGCATTTATCAATATAGCTATTGCTGTTTTTATATACTATCATATCAAATTCAACAATTATAGTTAATTTTTTAATTATAAAAATTTAATTGGTTGAAGAATTTTTAATTTTGTTTTGTTTTGTTCATAAAATATTTGCTAGGGTAAAAGGACAATATCGTGCTAGACATTCGCGGTTACTGTTGAAATATTCTTGTTGAAATTTTTAAAAGTTTGTCAATTTCATTGTTTAGAATTGTCGTTATTGTATTTTACTGTTAAGAGATTAATGTTTCCAGCATCAACGTTTAATATAACAGCTAGCTTATACTCGTTGTCTTACAAAAATGAATTTTTAACTGTAACGATCTGTCTAACAATAATGATAACGTTGCTCATATTCCAACAACTAACAATAAATTTTTTTTATTTTCTCATTTTTCCAAACCCGGGAATTTCGAGAGAAAAAATTAATTGCATGTTCGTCTTCGAATGATTTATAAAATCAAATCAAAACATGAACCAAGCAAGTATGTAAACACAACAGAACTTTCTTCGTGAAAAATATATAACAAGACAGCTTAAGGTAAGAGTTTACCACTATTCGTATTTAACAGTTAAACATCATTCAAAGCAATGTTAAGATCGTATATACAAGTTTGAAATTAACCATAAAGAGGAGTCAATCCTTCCCTTAAACTTTGGGGGCAAATTACCCTTTTGGTAAATTTTTTAATGACGTCAAACTCTTTAACGTTATTGGCAGCAAATGGTCTTTATTATGTAAATAGCCACACAAATTAAAGTAGTTTCAAGCAGTATTTTTTGTCAAAATTTCACCTTAACTTTCTGTAGACCACTTTGCCGCTCATGGGCCATCGCGTGTTGAAATACAAACCTATATATGATAGAAGTATACCACATCAATAAATCATTAGGGAATATCTGCTAACGCTTCTGTTACTTTCAAACTGTTTATTATTGCTAGCCACTGCTCTACTTTAACAAAATGTATCGAGTGTAGTCTGTAGATCTGTAATCTAAATGTGATTTGGATTATGATAATTCTCTAAAAGTCTTCGGAGCGATCAAACAATAGAAATATTGTCGTGCAATATTTTCATCCAAAAATATAATTTTGCTTGAAGAAACCGCTGCATCTCACGGAATTAGTTGAAATAGTTAGTCTTCACCAGTCTATCTGTGTATCATCCACATTTAATATTTCCTATGAGTATGAGTGAGATAGGTTGAAGAAATTTCAGTGTTAATTGAGTTTTTCTAGCATAGCATAAACGATTGTTATATATATGTAGCAATAAATGTTTAAATTATATATTATATATTATATATATATGCCAGTATTATCTAGTGATTACTTACATGATGAATGTGAGCTAGAAACTACTTGTGTTACAAATACACATCTGGTTAAATTACAAATTATAACAAACAACAGCTTCAGTGAACTACATATTAACATTATAGTAACAGCAGCTACGTTGTACGTAAGATCAGTTATTTTTTGACAGTTTGTGAAATTAATTATTAAGTTATGTTACGACGGTTCAGTCTGTCAAATCGCATGTTGTGTCGGTTATCTGATAAATAAATTGTTTCTGATAAAAATCTTCTCGTGGAAAATATTTAAGAAATGTGAATTTTCATAATTAAATTGTGAAAATAAACTGAAATCATTTATAGAATTTTGTTATTAATTTTAAATCATGTTAAGCTCATCATGTGACTAGAAACCAACATAATAATATGAAGTGTTGTTGAAGAGTGGAATGATGATAGTGGAATGACAGAAAGAAACGGAAAATGAAGTGACAGAACGATGGAAGGTGAAATTATGGAATGAAAGAATGAAAGATCAACTGAAGGATTTCAACATGTGCCACTTCTTCACATCAGTTTTACTTTTTGAGAACATCTCGTTCCAATGTTTTATCTCCATCGGACCACTTTTACTGCCGAGTAGAACCTGCAAAATTTGTTGTAAAATTTGTAAATTTTATAATACAAATAATTTCAAATGCCTTATTTACATTTGATAGTTTGAAAATGATATTTTTCAACTGAAAAATGCATGAATTGCGGTTCTAGATATTCAAGTGTAAACATTAATCTGACCTACCTGACCAATTAGTTCGTTTCGTCCCATTCTGTCGTAATCCATGACTGATATGAACAAACTCGTCTGGCGGATTTTTTCGTAAGGAACCAGAAATGGAAATTCTTCGTCAAAAGTTGGATTCAAACATTTTTCTTTTATTCCAGTTTTTCTCTTCTCAATTCTCTTGCCATCAAACATCAACCATATTTTTACGTAAGGGTCTATGCAATGATTTAAAATTTTCATGACAATCATTTAAAATTAGGTTTTACTTTTGAACTAATATATTAATAATTTTTAATTCAAATGAATTTTTATGATCACCTGATTGGCCGTTAATATCTTTAGCCTTAAGATTTCTTGCCTGAAGAATGCCAACAGTGATGACTCCATGCGAAGGTTTGTAGTTCAAGGACACTAAAAGTTCACCTAGTATGCCCTGCATCAATGAACCCATTTAAACAACGTTAATGAAGACATTCTTAACAAAATTAGAAAATAGAAAATGTTTTCGTTCGCCTCCATTTTTCTTTCATTTATAAAATCTTTTCAAATAGTTATTATTTTTGGTGAATAATTAATTTAAAATGTTATATGAATGTGGCAGTTGCCTGGTGTCCCTTGCAAGGTTCCAGAGTCTTCCACATGATCTGGCCAGTGGTCGAAAGTTGAAGTTCGCAGAGGGGTAGGGAAACCTCACCGATCGGATCGTCCCTGCTGAATCGGTCGTAGTCCAGCACTTGCAGGTACAACGTTCGGTTCAACAGTTTTGTGTAGGGAAACCCTGTATAATTGACACATATGCAACTATTAAAAAATGAACTATGGGATCTAATCTTTCAATAAACCTTCGAATAAAAACGTTTCGTTCCATTTTGGATTCAAGTTTTTCCGTTTAACTTTAGTCGTAAGTTTATTTCTTTTGTCGGGCAGTAGTAATATTTTGACGTAGGGGTCGCTTGTGCCACTGAAGTCTTTCGCAACTAATTCACTCGCTTGAATGATTTTGAGCGTTAGAACCATTTCACGACTGTCGTATAAAACTGCAACCTAGCGAGACGAATTAAAAATATTTTTATTATCTACTATATTATCGCATTATGATGGTATTTTGCTATGAAAATATGAAAGATAATGCTCGAATGTAATTTTGTTCAGAATATATGGCAAAATTAACCTAAAAGCTCAACAAAAAATAATTTTACTTGAATTTTTCCTAAATTTTCTCCACAGTACAGTACGGTTCGACGGAGAAGACGTCGTCGCAACTGTTGCTGCTGTTGCCACTGCTGTTGTTTGTCGCAAGTGGCGATGTTGTGTCGAGCATGCTCGTCATTGCTGTCGGCTCGGACGACGTCGACGGATCTTTCGCTCGCGGTGGAAATTTTAAAAAATTGTCGTCGATCTAACAATTTGAAATTTTTTGAAAATGTTAAAAGGACTTCAAGGATTGTTTTACATATCCCGGGCCCGGCATAAAAATGTAATTGCACAGGAGAGAAGAACAAGCAGAACCTTGTCTTGGATAAATTTGCAATGTAAGTATGTCGGCTATAAATTCTCAAAAATGTTTTTGTCTCTTACCATGAGGATTACGTTCTCTTAAATCAAAAATTTTTCATGAAAAAAAGATTAAATATTTATTTAAGGAAAAAGTTTCAATTTGCTATAAACATAATGATAAGTTTCGCTTCAAGGTAACTACAATTCTTTCAAACACATTTTAAATTTTAGTGTTATGTTAATTTTAAACTTTCATTTTTTTTAAAATAGCAGTTTTTGTTTTTAACAGTGAAAGTAAGAAAAAATTTCTCGGTGACAATCACAAAACATGAATCTATCTACTATAATTACTTATTCCTTATTCTCACCGCACATAAACTAAGGTAGTCATCACAATATTTTCTTCAAAAAAGTTTTGCTGTACGTGATACAATCTATTAGAAAATTGAAACTTATGTTGAGTGTGAGCAAGACCGATGGAGACCATCATTCCATCTATTCCTCATGCACAAAAGTAAAAAATTTTTGAAAGAAAAAATTGAAAAAATAAAGTGATGGAGAAAGAAAGGAAGAGTTAAGGTGGAGATTGTAGGAGATAATAAAAGGAGGCGAGGCTCTCATCACAGGAAGGAAACACATCAATCAAAAGTCGTGCATCTCTACGCTTACACGGATAAATCGTTCTTAATTACCATCACATACACAAACACACACATCCATACAAACGCACAGGCACACACACACACATCCAAACATGTACACATACACACGTTTATATGTAATAGTTTTTATTATATTTCTCATTTACCGTAGAGTATAATTTATTACTAAAATATAAGACCACTTTTTAATAGCTTGCATTATAACAACAAATAATGTAAAATTATTATCACGATGTTTACAATAATTATAAACTTAAACTATGGAAGGCGATATTTGTTTCAAACCAGCGACGTGATTTCTATCAGAAAAATATGAAAATGTTCGGTGATGGATGAGGCATTTGCATCTAAACCCAAGAGCGCACTTGCGATTTAGCCATTTTCTTTCAACGAAACGTTTTATAGAGTCCTATTTTACTATATGTTCAAATAAATGAAATCAGATAATTGTTCACACTGGTCATATAACCTTTTTAAAGACGTAGGACGCTGCGCTGTTGACAGATTGGTTGTTCTGTGGTGAAGATGACGAGAAAGAAGATGCAAGGCCATGAAGTTCTGACGAGCGGTTGCTACTGGTGGTGGTTGTGGTGCCTGACGCTTGATTGACGGCTCCTGATGTAGATGTGCCTGCTGACTGGTCGGCTTCCAGTGGACCATCTTCAAGGTGACTGTTATTTGTTATTGTTGTTTGTTTGTTGTTGTTATTTGTTGGCGGATTCTTATCTTTTTTGTTATTTTAATTTATCAATTTATCTTCATTTCATAGACCAAGCATGTTGTGAGGTATGTACTATATTATGCTATTGAGATTCATTTAAGAAACAAGCTAGTTGCCACTTATCTTTTATTCATTTCAAGTTAGCTTGAGCAGAATATTTTTGTGATTAAAATTATTCATACATTGAAAAAAGAGACTTGAAAAACTATTTTGAAAATAAAAAATTTGTTGATTGAACTCAAATAACTGAAATTAATATTCTTTGGACCACACAATAATCAACATAATGATGTTATGCGATGAATGCAAATGAACAACAAGCATTCAACGCATTGATGGCATATAATACATGTGTTCATGTACTGTACACAAAACGCAATCATTCATCACAACATGATGTCATCTGATGTATTCTGATGCATTCGTTTATTCTCTTGCTTGTTAATTATAAAAAAAATTAGCTTGGAACCTAGAAGAAATGGCATCTGCACGATGACGAATGTCCTATGCAAAACAAAATGGAAGCCACATTACATTTTTTGATGTGCTCTATAATTATCTCGCTGGCAGGAATGACAATGACGATGAAAACCGGGAAGATGAGGTAACAAAAGTATGATTAAATAAAAATTGTATGAAAATTTGAAAGTAAGTTGATACATTATTCTCGGATTTCTCATCAAATGCATGTATTTTTACATTTATTAATGGATTATATAAAACAATGCTCGTATCATTTAAACTGTTATAGAAAAAATTTATTTATATTCAAATTCTTTCAAACGATTTTTGACACTGAATTGAAATTAAAGACATCCGTCAGATTTTGCGAGAACCAAATTTCGTTGTTGTCTATTAACTTGCAACGGCAAAATTGCTTGCTGGATAACCTGACCGCATCCATCTTGCTCAACTGAATCCATAATTCCATCAATCTCAGCTGTCAAAAAATCTACAGTACACAAGATCCACCAGCCAACCCCTCAGACCTAATCATTTGATTCTCTCTTTTTTGACTTGATCAACCTGCATGTACGTTATAATGCATTGTACAAGTCGGTTGTGATACATGCTTCATACACCCACACACATTCACACACACCCACACACACACACTCACATGCACGCTGAAAAACAAACTCTCGAACAGTCGATCTGAAAGCGACCACACAAGAACATATTTTAATGAAAGATTTTAACAGACGTTCGCTTCAGAAGTGTATGTGTTGGTGTTTGTGTGTGTGTGTGTTTGTATGTAGTATGTGTGTATATGTGTTTGTGCGAGCCTGCATGCTATGTGGGCGCATTAGAAGGTGTAGTGGAAAGCATGCAGGCAGATGTTTTCTTCCAGTCGGTTCATCCATACTTTTTTGCTACTGTTCTATTATTGACATTTGAATATATGCACTTCCGTTTTTAAATAAATATAATTGTCTTATAAGAAGTACATGTATTGTTAAATAGTATTTTATATATCCAAATAATTAGATGTCGAGTCCAGTGAAATAGAACGCAAGCAAAAACTTAATCGCCATATCTATTGAAACAACACCAACAATTTCAGTTCAATAATTTCTTGAATTCATCTTCACATTTGTGTAACAACTCCAAATTTTTAATTTTTTACGGTGATATTTTAAACCAAACTAAGGATAAAAACTAAAAAATAAAATTGTTTTCAAATGTTTGCTGGAGCATGAGTAATAGCATCCTATCGTGTCATAGTTAGTTTTTGATAGAAACTAGAAGATGATGAATGGTTGAGCATTAACTTATCGGAGGGAGGCTTTGCATAATTTTCTGAAATTTAAACTGAATGGCTTTGGGAGTTTGCAAGTCAAGTGATTGACAACTTTCAAATACAAGCCAATGAATATGGAATATATATATGCTTCAAATCAACTTACTGGTGATGAAATATGACAACTTTTTTCAAAATAAGCAATGCAAAAAATTCTGTTATTGAAATGATTATATAAAGGTAGAACAATTCACACAAAAGTATTATTACTTTGTACGAAAATTGCAAACAGCATCAAAAAATTTACACCAAACAAATAAACTGCGAGTGAAAAAGCTATTTCTATCGTTACACGGATGGACATATGGACGAATAAAAATATAAACAAAAGAATTATAAGCAAAGAGAATAAATAAACAGACAAACAAACATAAACAGTCGTAAGATCAAATGTGCTAACGTACGAACGAAAGAACGAACAAAAACAAATGAATGCGTGAGTTAATTAATATATGAAGGAGAAAAAGATAAACAAACACTCCCGACTACACCTTTATATGATTGATGCGAAAATAATGATTGTTATTTTTCTCTCTGTTTTCTCAAATGTTTGCAGTCGGAATAAAATAATGGTAATATGAGAATAAATATTTTCAAAATATACATAGAACTTATAATGCAATATCAATATATGTACAAATACATGTAAAGTTAGTAAATTTTGTCTTTTAAAAGTGGAATGAATTTAATTCTTAAAACATGACTTTAACGATGAAAAATAAATAAGATGCTAAAATATTGCATTTATTCTCTTATAAATGTAATCTAGAATGCTAACGTGATAATGAAAAATCAACATCACATTGTCAGCAAATTGAAAAAAGTTACGAAAGTCAATGCCATTTTTTCAAATGTTGTTATATTTTTTGCTACGTAATCTGAAGTTATCAAAAAGTTAATTTGTTTTTAGCAATGATATCAAAAAAATTAAATAAGATGTCATGTACACCTGACGGCACATGTTAATTAATAAGCATAATTATTCTTTCTGATAACTTTGTTCTATAATGTTCACGCCATGCTAGTCTCTGATTTTTTATTAAAAATATTTATAATTAATATCTTTTTCACTCTTATTTATTTTCTTAAAAAAAACCACAAAAAATCTAAAAATTTTCTAGCTTAAGAGATTTATGGTTAGAAATATAAAATAATTTATTTTCCAACTTGTGCCATCTCTGATATATCTTATATAAAACCTAATGTTGTTTGTATATAAGTTACTTATAGATAAAAATAGATACAAAATATTTTACAATTGGATAGAATATAAGTGTGGCGTTTTGTATGGTGTGATTGAAGTTGATCATTTAAACAGTTTTTTATTTATAATACACGGTTCGTTATAATGTTAGAGTCCTGCTAGAGCTCTTTTTTTTTTATTTTATATCAAACCGTCAAAGGAAAATTAGAATTATGAACTTAAATTTCAAAAAAATTGTTAATTTATTTGCTTTTAATGGTTTTCACTACAAAATTTATTTTGTTATTATTCTCTTATTACACTTTTTAGCTACTTTATCTTTGTACTTACTAGAATCGTTGATGGTCAGACGGTTGAAAGTTAATTTTAGTTTTATTTGACGAATAAAAAAACTAATAAAAAACATTAATAAAAAAACCATAACACGAAATGGCTATTTTTCTGACATAAAAAAAAATTTATGAAATATTGAGAAGCAATCAAAGTAGAAGAGAAGTTTCAAGTGTTTCTATACGATCACTCTCATGGTACTATTTCCACTTTTTACGATTATTTTCAAAACAACTTCGCTGCTAAGTTAATGACATTGGTGCTATTTTAGTGTAACGAATGTGTTGTTGATGTTTTCATTATTGGTGTCATTAAAGTTTTTAACGTTTTTTTAAATTATTTACGGTAGTAATGTGATTGCTATGTATTTGTTGTTTCCATACAGGAGCAACATATTTCTTTTCATTTTTTTAAACATTCCATCATGTTAAAAATGAGATTTTTCAGCATTAATCATAAAATTGCATGGTGTTTTTATTCTCTTTCATATAAGCAAAAATTGTTCAACAAAAAATAAATTGGAAATATTTAAACAAAATTTCAATTTTAAAAATTTTTGACTTAACAAAGAGGCGAGAATTTTCAATTATTCAAACACGAATTACATTTTGGACTTGAAAAATATAAATTAGGTGATTAAGATATAAATTTTTTAAATAAAATTTTCAAAACAGATAACGCATTTAAAAATAGGAATTAACATGAAATGAAAAATTGTATACTAATAAAATTGGGCAACAGTTTGAATAATGTCTACAGTGTTTACAGAATTATAAATTAGCAACAAAACCAAGTATGCCGACGACAGTTCTAACAACTCCACCGGCAATCTGTAATGACACTCATATTATAACATAAAAAATACATTAAAAACTATCCCAGATCTGAAAACGGATTGTGCTCTGCTGACATTTTGCTAACTCTATTGAATGATTGCAAACTTAATTATCAAGATGTTAGGACAGTAGCATAATGAAATAGGAAAAACTTAAGTTTTGAAAAAATTCTCAAAAGTTTTGATGATCACTGCAACTCAAAATTTCTTAATTTTAATGTCTGTGTGGATTTTTATAAACAAAATCATCTATTCAACCGTGTAAGAACTCTGCACTTGAAAATTTTAAAACATTTTTTGTTTCTACGTGTATTATTTTGCTTTTAGTTTGCTGTTGCTTTCAATTATTCTTTATATTGAATTTGACGGCAAGATTATCGCCCCGTCATGCATATCAACATTTTAATAAATTCTTTCAATTTTGTTCAGTTCAAAATTTTTTGAAAATATTATTTTTTTTCGGTACGTTTGTAATATGACTACTATTGACGATAAATTCAAATGGAAACTTATGAAAGTATTGAAATTGATGGTTTAAACAAAACATCAGCAAATATAAAGATACGGTACTGTTTGTTTCAGGAGCTAGAGACTTACGTTTACGTATACTTTTTCAGATGAAAAAAGTTAATGAAGCAAGAAATTTTAGCCTAGGACGTCAATCGTTGAAACTGATGAAGTTGTTTGATGAAGCTGCAATGAAATTCATGCCACCGGTTATCCAATCCATACATACGTCAGCAGATGTGTTGCGTGGAGGTGATTATTGCTTGAAGGTTCAATTGAAGGTATTTTCAAGACGTGTATGTTCGAAAAGTGTGCGTCCAATTTATTTTCTTAAAGTACTTTTTTGAAATATTTGCTGACTAGTGTTGTGTTTTATAATCAAAAATTGTTTACAGCTCATTTTAAAATCGATTTTTTTTTCAAAAATGTTAGCTTTGCTAGCAAATTTTTGGCTTACTCTTTTTTAAATTCTCTTACGAATTTTCTGTTTATTCGAAATGTTTTAGCCGGCTATTATTTTTGATTTTTTGTTCGCAAACATTCGTTTAAGAATCCTTATTTAGCACCTAATTTTTTCCTAATTTTTAACCATTTTTAAGTAAACCCTCAAAGTTTTTTAGCTTCCTCCATACATTTTCAGTTTCACATGACATTGTTTCATTTGTACCAAGACTTTCTGTACTCAGTTGCATCTCTTTCAAAAGTTTAACTAAAATAAGGATCGAACTTATTTTCACGAATTTGCTTCTAAAAAAGATATGTTTTAATAATCGTTACAATTGTTTTATGTAAGTTTTTAAGAAGAACTGAAGGAAGTTTGCATGTTTTCAAAATAGTTCCGTAGTATGATTGTGAAAAATTTCATTAACTTGGTGAAAAATTCATTTTATATCGTCGTTAATTTTTTCTACAATCATTTGTTTATAGTATTTTCAATATCCGTTATGAGTATTTTTAAACGTCAACTCAAGACTTGTATGTACCGTAAAGAGCAAATTTTGGTTGGAACGCGAAATATTTGTAAGTACCTTTTTATGCAATTCGAAGTGCACTTTCTCACGTGGGCGCCTTCAATAACCTTTTCTAATGATTTCTTGAGGTGCCCAGCAGTGCTCACGTTGATTGCTTGATTGACCTTTATTTTAAGCAAAAAAATAATTTTCTTTGTTTTTCAATTTAAGTATGTTTTTTTTAGAAAATTTTCTTTTTCGATCAAATATCCCATTATATATTTTATATTAACTAATTATTGAAAATATTTTAATTATTTCTAATGAAATCATTTAAAAATATTGAACTTATCTGTTTTTGTCAAATAAACAAAAATGCTAGCCTATAGAAATATATATATATGTATATATATATATATATATATATATATATATATATATATAATTTGTATCTCTCCGATGTTTGAACATAAATGGTCACTGTCATCAGCACAAGCTCAGGTTTTGAAATGTTCTTATCTTATTCTGAATATTCGAAAAGCTCTCGTACCGTTACCTGGTTCAATCACCACGTTTTTTTTTTACAAAATTTTTCAACTAGGCTCATATTATTTCAAATAATATTTAAATATAAAAAAATGAAAATAAATTTTTGGCAATCCTTGAGGCGCAAAAAGAAAAATAAAGGATAACGTTATTGGCATGATTTGGTTTGAACTCAATGTAAACATAATGTTGAAATGACTTCCTATGATGTTCAAATCCAAATGACTATAAATAAAAAGAAGTACAACAGTGATGAATGGTGCCGATAAAAAAAATTGTGAATGTTTACCAAGCTGATGATAAGGATATTCAAACGATGAAGAAGAAGCAAAACGCAGCAAAAATTATGAAAATAATGATAAAGAAAAAAATGAAAATGTTGCTAAAGTTTGTTAGGGAGACGATGTCTGTGATGATCCTTTTTATTGTTCGGTGATGATATTTGAGCTGATGATAAGACAAATCAGTTGATGACAACAATGATGACAATGACGATAAAGATGATGATGACGATGATGATAAATATAATTATAGAGACGATAAAAATAATGTTGAGTTAGACGATCGCTGGTGACGTGGCTGAATGTAGAAAGAACTTGTTTTGTGTTACAGTAAGCATTAACATTATTTTTCAGTGTTATTAACGATGACTCCGACCGTGTATTTGCAATCTTTATGGCCGATGAACATGCAACTGTGTGCATAATGAATAACATGCCCTTCCATGCCATGTTATTCAGTTTATACCGACCACATCTGTATTTGTAGTGCACCATTCAAATGATCTTCTTGCCTCCATTTTGCTGTTGGCGTGTTAGGAATCGGCATTTTTTGTGTTGTTGCTAGTAGAATTACTTTTATAGATATTGGTATTTCATATATTTAATTTAGTTTTTATTGTTTGTTTTTTTTAATTCCGAGAAACTAGAGTACACTTTTTACTTCTATAGACAAACGATTTTGCTAAAATTAATTTGTGCCAACTGAATTGTGTAAAGATGCCTCGCTAATGAAGTAAACCAACAGAGCGAACGTGTTGAGAAAATGAGAAATAATTACAAAAACTTTGAGGAAGTTTAAGTTGCACGCCTGCGTTGAAGTACCGTTCAAACACGTCAGCAGTGGACAGATCTATCGAGAAGCAGGCATTCAACTTTGTAATCCGCATTATTAAAACTAATAAAAAAAACAAATCAAGAATCAGAAAGTAGATCAACTTCTTTTTAAACAACTTTTGCATAATTAAAAATTTATTAAACTGTCTATAAAAATGAAAATATGTTAAATATATGAAATGCAAAAATGTGTTAGCGTTCATACATATGTGCTAGCAAGATTTAAAATAATTCGTTTGTTTGTGACAAATACAACTCCACACTCCTACCTCACACGCAAACTGATCAACTTTCGATTGCAAGTAATGAAAATATCGATTCAAGTTTTTTTTTTAAGAAAAATTACTCACCATATAACAAATTTTTTCAACAAATAATTTTCTAAATAAAAAATTGCAAAAAAAATTGAGTGGCTCAGCTTAAGGATTATTTTTTCAGATTATTTTTTCATTGCAATATAAAAACGCAAAGAAATAAATTATGCTATGAGAATAAGTTATTGATAATTAAGAATTGTTTACTTCCAACACAAAACATTAACTAGAAAAACATTAGACAAATTGCATTAGCCAGCAGCTAGCAATAAATTCAGATAAAAGGAACAACACTGTATACATAAATATAGACATATATAAATATTCAGTAAGATCTGTCTTTAATACAATTACAAAATTTTGTGGTTGATTTTAAATGTTTCTAGTTGATTGGCTGATACTTTGGCAAACTAAACACCTATTACAAATTTGTGAAGATGTAGAAACTAGATTTATGTATATCTATGTACAACATTCAATAATGTATTAGTTATACAAAAAGTTGTATTTGAACATTCATTTATTATTATATTTCTACATAAATATGCACTTTTGCGTTATCTAAACCTGATGCATTGGTGCTATACAGGTTAGCACGAAGTAATAATGGGAAACTTTTTCGAGCAGTTCTCAAAGGATAAATCTTCGTCATCAATTACAGCGCTCAATCAGCGCTCCATCAAGCCGTAGTCACTCAGGTGCACAGAGGACAACGATCCATCCATTCATCTATAGTTCGTTCAAGGCTATTTTTCAATATTTGACTTTAAACGTTGTGAACAAAAGCTTGCTTGCATTTCAAATAGTGTTAAGTCATTACGCGTAAATCTAAGTTACAAAATTGCCTTGTAAAATGGAATAGTGATTCATGACTAACACAAATTTAGTGAACTGTGCGTGCAATTGTGCGTGTGTGTTTGTGTGTGTGTGTGCGAACGTGCATGCGTGTGTGGGTAAAATTGAATGATTAAAGGAGCAGAGATGCTTAACAGAGAACGTGTGAGACAAAATTTTGTGTTGGCATGACGGAGCGCATTCATCAGAGGACATGGAGCTTCCCTTGTTTCATTTGTTGGGCTCTCTTGCTTATCAACTCCGCTGCTTCTTCTTTACATATTTTCTCTGTGTTAATTTTTCTATTAACACACATAGGTCATTACATTTTTTCAATGATTTTTTCAACGATTTATTCTGAAAAATTATCATGAATGGATGAACTAGCTTACGAACGAACTCACGACCGTAAACGAACGAATTAGTGAATAAATAAATGAATGGATGGGTGAATGGATGGATGGGTAAGTGGATGGGCGGATGGATTAATGAAAAATAGAGTGAATGAATGAATGTAATCATGTCATTTATAATGTGAGGAGTTTCGATGCAATGCGACGTGATGTGATACATTGTTGTGTGATATACAGCAACGCCATGCAATGCAGTGTAACATAATACAATTAATGTTTGATGAATATGTTTGATGAACAGCGATGAATCGATTCCTTCATTCACCTGATTTGATGGGTCCCTGTCAGATATCTTGAATGATTGTTTCATCTACATTTGCTAGACTTTCCCATTATGTAGTACCTGTTTTGGTAGTTGTGCTTAAGTTTTTCTGATTTTATTTATCCTTGGATCTTGGGTATATTGCGTTTTTTTAATTTTTTTTAACATAAATTAAATTAAATTATGTTTAAAACTTTTTGAAATTAGCTTATTAAATCAAAAATTAAATGGCTATTTTTTCAAATTTAATAAAATTTAAATTATTTTGAATTGCCACGAAAGGGTTTCATTCAAAGCAAATATAAATACAAACATTCATTTTTTACTTTTAAATTTATTAAAATTTGCTCATGTGGTGCTAAATTATTATATTTGTTACATAGCAGACGTTGTTCTTGTTAAAATTTTCAAAAATGTTAATGGAAGTAATAAAGTAGAAGCCCGCCGGCTGGCCGCAAGGCAATATGTTACTGGCTCCAGTGCAGTAAGTCGAAGAGAAATTAACGTGACCAGAAAACTAAGAAGATGGCTCGGTGGGTGAGATGAGCTCGATGTTGTGCTGTCCCACTGACAAAGAACACTAATCAGCTCTAATTTATCAATGCTCCAGTTTCAGTAGTTCACTTTTTTATTGACAGTAGCATGTTTTTGCATGAAATGATGGATTATGTAATAGAAGCAGCACGAAACATCACATTCATCAAATGTAAGCACACACACACGTGCATATCTGTATAAAATGCTGGTGACGTTTTTATAATTATTTTTTTTGTTCTTTCTGTTGTTAACCTTTTCTTGGTCATTGGTTGTTGCGGTGCTTGTGTAAGATAATTACGTAGTTTTACGATCGTCTTGGATGAGCTAGCTGAATGAACGTTCGTCGCATGCAGTTCGTTGCAAGGTCGCTTCAAATGTTGCCGTCTCTGCTTATTTTCACATGCCTATTCATTCAGTTGTTGAATCTTTATTAATGTCACTTTGCTGCTTAAAACTTTATTTTTTTTTGAACAATTCAAGTCTCTTGGAATCAAATATTTATTTTTTCTGACAAATAATAAATTTAGAAAAACATTTCAGATTTCAACAGTAATGTTTAAGAAACCTTCGATTAAAAGTCAATATAATATCTCACATAGATATCTCTCATAAAATCCTAACAGATACGTACATTTTTTTTAAATATTATGTTTCAAATTTTTAACTCTTACAGAAGTTTTAAATTACATGACTCTTTTGGAACTCAACAAAATTTATTGAATCTTTTCAAATCAGCATTCAGCATTCACCTTGCAAACTAAATACTTTACAATTTAAAAGCAAACTGAAAGACAAATCTTATTAATTACTGACCAAACATTTTCGAAAAAAAAACATACCCAGATAGTAGTTGCAAAACAAATGTGTGCTGTGCACCAGATAAACACAAACACATAATAAATATACACAGCGCTGGCAACATAAAACTTCCAACTCATGTTTTCCTCGTGTAACTATTAAACAAAACTTGCGTCCAACACGTTCACAACGCATAAAATTCTAGCAAAACATTGCAAACAATGAAAAATGTAAACATGAAGACTTCAGGAAATAAATAGGTGTGGCACATGCATGCATGGCAGATTTTAAGCAAATATGCAAATATACATTTCACTCACACGGGCACAAAACATACAAACACTATACAAACAAACAAAATTTCATATGTGTAACAACAAACAAGCAAATATGCAAATATGCAAATATATATTTCACTCTCACACGGGCACAAAACATACAAACACTATACAAACAAACAAAATTTCATATGTGTAACAACAACAGCAACAACAACAACAAACAACAACAGCAACAACAACCACAACAGTAGTATGGAGTACATACAAACCCCCATCTGACGATGCTACATCATTCTCATCTCACTGGCAAGTGTTCAGGTACTGCTGTTGAAACTGATGTCTGCGGTGCATACGATGGCAGTTTTTGCCCCAAAAAATAGAAAAAATAAAATACAAAGAGAGAAGTAAAATGAAAAAGACGGGCGGGTTGAAAAGAATTAATTATTTAAGTTGATAAAAAAGATGGAAAAAGGAGCATATGTCAACTAACCTGGATGCTGTGACAGCTTGAAAATGAGAAAAAAATTTAAAGTATCATGTTTAACTTTTCACAGAAAAAAATTTTTAAATTTTAGATTAATAATCGTAAAGAAAAATTTTGGAAATTTCAACTTATGTGCGTTGTAAAAGCACTACTGGGTAGATGGTTATTATGTTGAATAATATTTTTCATGGTTTTAGTTAGAACTGTGTGAAAGTCAATTCGTGCTTTGAATAAAACTTTTATTTATTTAATTTTAACTTTATGTTCTTTTAATTCAATTAACGTTATTGCTTCTTAAAGCTTTCATGGTTTTATAAACTCAAATTTTTTAGTGAAATTAATAAAAGTCATCTATCATTATTAAGAAATAAAGTTTTAATTTGACATCACAAAAAAAAATTTTAATTATTCAAGCAGCCTACCTAACTTTTGTAAAGTTCATTCAATGAGAGTTTGTTTGCTGAAGTTAGAAAATGAGTGCATTTTTGCGGCACACGGGTTAAGAAATGTATTATAGCACATTGTACATATCGATAGATAATTTATGTTTTTGTTTTTACAAACGATTCATTTGTTTGAAATTAAATTTATTATATTGATAAAAATGTTTTAATATATAATTTCTGTTGGCTGTATTGATAATAACAGCCATCAAATCTCAACGTAATAATAAGAATGATGGTAGTACTTGTA